TTTGATCGAAAAAATGTAAAGTGGTTTTTTTTTTTTTTTTTAAGCGCACGTTTAGTTCTATTACCGCTTGTGATTCATAGAACTAATTTTAAAGCTTTTTTTTTATTGGTCTCAATTGTAACCAAAAGATAAATGTGTTTCTTTGATAAACTGATTGAAAAAGTCCTTTCATAGACTTCTATGCATGAAACATGAATAAGTTAATATTATGTTCAAAAAAAGTAGCCCTTCTTTTTCATTACTTTTTTATTGTTTAGCCAGAAATTTTGAGTTTGATGAAAAATAACAATAACAATGATAAGACAAAAAAAAGAAAGAAAAAAAAGTAATCTTCACAGCTGCAAACTCCTCAAATAATCAACAATTATTCTTTCGTACAGTTAATATTTTTCTAATAAACTCTTTTATAACAATATCGTATGCTCGTAAATAACTTTGTTACTTTTGCATTGCCTACTGCATAGTCATTTCTGTTTAGAAACCGATGTAATTGTAAGTTATTTATTGATAAGGTGTAATTGCATATTAATATATGTAAAATATAGAAAAAAAAGATACCTTGTGTTTGAAGAAAAAAAATGTAAAGGTTTGGTAGGCATTAAGTAAACTCGATTGTTCACAGAAACAATAAAGATTTCATTTATTTTACAAAATATTTGTTTATAAATTGGTCATTTTACCTTTTCATTGTTATTTTTTAAATTAAATGATACCTACATATCATAATGTTTTTCCTCGATGACGATAAATTTCGGTTACTCCATCTATTTTGACATGATTTCGCATCATACAGAAAAACTATTTTCATAAACTTTTTTTATAGAATCTTATTATCTCCATATATATCTTGGCATTTCTGACATTATCCACCGACGCATATATCGATTGAAATGTTGAGTGTTATCCGTAAATGTTGCAAGTACTTTTGGTTACCGCAAACGCAAACACAGACCACTGCTATTGTGAATCTACTAGTGCGAGAGAAATATCAGTACGTTTGTTCCCAAGCACTCCAACAAGGAACGCATGTTCAATTATAGATCGCTTGGAAACCTCAAAGCGCTCCAAGCGTTCCGAGGTGGATACATGAACATACCTAATAACGGTAGCCTTTCCGGCCGCCCGGGTGGTGTACATATACATATGTATAAGCCGATAGAAAATACTCTGAACCTCAGTATTACTGTGCCCTAGAGTAACTTTTTGATATTATATGTTACTGAAGTTGTAGATTATGATAAAATTAGTAAAAAAAATGTAATACTTTTTTACAAAATCGCAAAACGATTTTGAAAATTTACTTCGTAAATAAATTGTAAACGGGTATAGGCCAGATGAAAATTGAAATACCAGCGTGTAAACAGAAAATTTTCTATTATGTATATGTTTCTACTGTTGTTTTTTCTTACTAAAAAATAAAAATTCATAGTTATTTTTTACATCAACTAAAAGAGTGAGTGAGACTGAAAAATCGTGAACAAAGCACTGGGTAGTGGGTATACTACGTGTATTGTAGGTGGTTTACAAATTGTTTTGGCACGTTATGCTTTATACTTATATTGGCTGTGTTCACGAGAGGCTCGGTTAGTTAAGTCAATTAGGAAGTATCAAAAAATTGATCACCAGAGGGCAGCATGGCGCTCGGCTTGCATGACGTACTTATAGTCTATACCTATATACATGTATGTACAGCTACACTGTACAGTCGTACATGCATATAGGTATAGGCTATAGGTACGTCATGCAAGCCGAGCGCCATGCTGCCCTCTGTTGATCAATTTTTTGATACTTCCTCATTAAAGTCACGTGATCATTTATTATGCGAAGAAGACAAGATGAAGTCACCGTCTCCCTTGCACTCATGGTAAACGAAGCCTTTCGCGAAAACGCGAACATAGCTATTGTGAACTCTCTGCTCTGCGCGCGTGATGTACATCGAATTTCACGTGTAACCCACAACAAATAGAGTAACAAACAAAAAACCATGGAAAATACCTCACCTAGTGACTCCACGATGATAAAACACGTTGATAAAGGGTAAGTAATTTCATGAGTTAACACCGATAAATAGTATTACAGATAATTTGTTAAGGGATTTCTTGGCCATTCGCATTAACATAAATTTTCGTATAGCTTTGTTCACAATTATAACCTAACATACTATTAAAATCGATATTAAAATTCGAATCATCATACATAATGTGTATAGTATCGCATTTACGTAAAAACACCGGCGTACGAAACAGTTCTATAGGGTTTAAATGTATTTACACCGTATAAACGTGCATTCAATGTTAATAAGATTGTTTTTTTATTTTTAAACTTGATCCCACAACATCTCGTTGGCCCGACGATCAAACATATATACTTTTAGATTATTTAGATGAACATCGAGACCTAGCAACAGGCAAATTCAGTTCATTTGACGGAAAAAATCAGAAAAATTCTGGATGGGAAGATGTGGTCTTCAAAGTGTCACTGTATGGTGAAACCAAATCCTCTAAACAGTGCAAAGATGTAAGATTTTCTTCTAGTACAAACATTTAATGATAAATATCTTTTACTGTCTTTATACTGGTCTACTTAATTTAGAGATGGTCATACTTGAAAATGAAGTACAAGGACATGCAAGCACATTATGTGAAATTTATCAATAAAACTGGAAATCACGCAGAAGATTCGGAACTCATCGATACTACAAATAGTGACAAGTTTTACCAATTGTACATGAAAATCGTTGGTACATCTCATAGAAACGGTCTGGAGTTAGTTTCAGAAGCCGGAACCAAAAGTACTCAATGTAAGTGTCATTGGTTGTATGAATATTCATACAGAACCTTCTTCAGAAATCTTATATGATTGTGTATTGTCAAGGTCCAGTAAAGAATAAGGCTGGTTTGCTAGAAACTGGATGTTCCTACCTGAAAGTGGTTCAAAACACAAGAATACAAGAGT